GGGTAGATTTACAAAAACTGAGAATCTGGTGCAGCTCCGCATGGTAGCCAATCAGCTTCTAATTTCAGCTTGTTCAATTAAGCTTTGGCAATAAAACCTGAACAATTGAGTACTGTCCATGATACTTTTTGTATTTGCACTAACATACAATTTAGAGGACAAGCTTTCGGGGAATGTTCCCTTCTTCAGGTCTAAGCAGTACTGAAACAAAAAATATATATTGGGTAGTCCCGTGGATGAACATAAATAGTTGAGGTGACTCTGATATCCGTATAGAGGTGGTAATGAAATGCGCACTCACCGGACGCGCATATTAAATGCGCATTGAATATAAATATCCTGCTGCCAGGTGGTGGGCGGTCTCTCCTCTATTGGATCCTAGGTAAGTGGTCCTTCTCCTCTAGAGGTCCCCTTATGTGGTCCTAGTGGGTGCTGTCACTACAGGTGGCCTGAGTGGTGAGTAGCGATCCGTTCCTGAAGTGGGTCTGCGGACTAGAGCACTCAGTCGCCAACCCCTCTGAAGACGTGCTTGAGCACAATACGCGTCAGGAGGAGCCACACCACGCCGTGACGTCACGCCGCCGGAGCAACGTAGTGGAGCTCCTGCGGCCATCTTTGTTTACCAGCTGGTCAGTTCCTTTACAGACTACTGTCTGCAACGCTGTATTGTCTTTACCTGATTGAATTAATAAATTTGAGGTTTAACTTACTACACTATGGGAGTGTTCTTGTCGCCCCCTGGGGGAGTGCTCTAGTCCGCAGACCCACTTCAGGAACGGATCGCTACTCACCACTCAGGCCACCTGTAGTGACAGCACCCACTAGGACCACATAAGGGGACCTCTAGAGGAGAAGGACCACTTACCTAGGATCCGATAGAGGAGAGACCGCCCACCACCTGGCAGCAGGATATTTATACTCAATGCGCATTTAATATGCGCGTCCGGTGAGTGCGCATTTCATTACCACCTCTATACGGATATCAGAGTCACCTCAACTATTTATGTTCATCCACGGGACTACCCAATATATATTTTTTGATTTACCAGGGACTTTTTAATATTAATATTAATTGTTGCTTACTAGCGCTGCACTTTTCATATATATATACTGTCTATTTTATAGGTCATTGGTACCTATATTGTGCATAGCAGCTTGCTGTTTCTTACTAAGGCGCTCTTTACCATTTCATGTACATAGTACTGAAACAAAGATTTAGCAGAATGTTGGAAGAGATGTAGGGGATGGGAAAAAAAAAACAGAGATAAGATACAGCAAGAGCAAAGTCTGGGGGGGGAGACAATACTAGCAGAGGCAATCATGCTTGAGCTGATAGTCATAAAACTGTTGGATAATGATTGAGGAATCCCATGTCCAAATTCAGGCCATTATCTCTTGTGTCAAATAGAATTATCATTCTTAGTTCAAAAGTTTTTCTTTCCTGAATGGATTTGAAATTTCCTTTAAGAACTAAAACATTGAGGTCTTCCATAATGTGGTCTGGTTGTGCGAAATGGTGTCCCACAGGTGTGAAAATGTCATCTTCTTTATGTTCCTTGATGGTATGTCTGTGCAAATTCATCCTTGTTTGCAACTTGTTGTTCGTGTACCTTTAGTAACCGCATACAACCCAGCACTAGAAGGAATAAGAAAAATAATCAAAGATTTACAACCCATCATAACAGAGGATGGAACTCTGAAATAAATATTCCAGCAACCCCCAATACTGGCCTTCAGACAACCCCCCAACCTCAGAAATAAACTAATCATTAGGAAACTTCCTTCTGATTATTATGTCACAAATAATGGAAGCAAACCCTGCAATAAGAAATGCAGCAAACTGTGCAACCAAATCAATCCATCAAAAAGTGTCAGACGCTCAAAAGGGATCTTCAATATTTCCGGATCATACAGCTGCACCTCCAGTAATGTTTGTGTACCTTATCCAGTCCAGAAAATATAGCAAAGGATCCTATGTTGGCGAAACAGGACAGAAATTGCAAACAAGGATGAATTTGCACAGACATACCATCAAGGAACATAAATAACCTTTGCACACCTGTGGGACACCATTTCGCACAACCAGACCATATTATGGGAGACCTCAATGTTTTAGTTGTTAAAGGAAATTTCAAATCCATTCAGGAAAGAAAAACTTTTGAACTAAGAATGATAATTCTATTTGACACAAGAGATAACGGTCTGAATTTGGATATGAGATTCCTCAATCATTATCCAACAGGTTTATGACTATCAGCTCAAGCATAACTGCCGCTGCTAGTGTTGTCTCCCCCCCCCCCCCCAGACTTTGCTTTTGCTGTATCATATCTCTTTTTTTTCCCCATCCCCTACTTCTCTTCCAACATTCTGCTAAATCTTTGTTTCAGTACTGCTTAGACCTGAAGAAGGGGACATTCCCCGAAAGCTTGTCCTCTAAATTGTATGTTAGTGCGAAAAAAAAAAAAAGTATCACGGACAGTACTCAATTGTTCCTGTCGCAAATGCACTAATATGGCTACAATCACCTCAAGCAATAAAACCTGGAAACTGATTGATTTCTATGCAGAGCTGCACCAGATTTTTCACGGTCCAGGTTTAGTAAATCTTCCCCATGCTGTACTTGTTACAGATTTTGCAACTTTTTCAGTATCTTTAAACAAAATCAGCAACTCTATTCAGTCAGCTGACAAGACCAACACTCATGGACAAAGCAAATAAGATGAACAGTTTGTGTATTTTTAATTTGGTATAGAGTATTCTTTTATTATAGTTTACCCAATCATGATCCATACAAGTAGAACCAAACTACTAGCAGAAGAGGGCTACTGTATCTTCTAGACGAGGCAGACTGTCTCTTTTTGCCCTTCCAACCCATCCATGGCATGTCTTGTACGTCCATAAAGTTTGATTCTCTGATAGTAAGGCTTTGTTCAAATGTGCAGCTAGATAAAACTAAGAGGTTGAGCTGCTTTTTATTAAAAGTAGAAAAATTGTATTGAACGATTTTAAGTTACAATGTAACAGGAAAGGCAGATCATCAAAAAAAAATCATACCACAAAGCACATGCAGAGTACAAAGAATATCATATAAAGAGATATATTACCCATACAAGCTTCATAGAGACAAAATTATAAAAATCACGCAGGTTGAAGTCATTTTAGTATATGACAGCAGGGCTATCATATTTGGCAGGGCAGCTTATATTTATATATGCTAACTGGTACAAAGGAAGTGCAGAGTTAATCATCAAACACCAATCATTATAGGATGGCTGGGAGGAGAGTTTCTACTTAAGGAGAATTTCCCTTTTAGCATAGTAAGATGCATGAAAGAGTAGAGATTTATCATGTTTTTGAATAGATAGAGCATCATAAATACCCAGGAAATAGAACAAGGGGAACGAGTAAATTAGGCAGATGAAGTGCTCTGGATATGCTAGTCGTAACTTGGCCCCATAAGTAATAACTAAGGGGCAAGTCCATACCATATGATAAAAGGTGCCAGTAGCACTTTGGCATTTTCACAGAGAGGGGAGAGCATTGAGTAAATATGATGCAACTTCTGGGATGAAAAATAAAATGAAAAAAAAATTTCGGATGTATAAGCTTGTCCTTGGTGGTGCTCATTTGCTTAGTATACATTGAGTAGTATACTACTCCACATCTTCCCATTAGTCTTCTTAGAAAATAGGGATATCATTTTTTTTTCCATTTCTGGAAGAAAGAAGTGGTCTTAGATAGTTGATAAGTTATGGTATGAGATGGGCTTAAACCGAAGAGAGGGATTGATAAAGTTGGCAGCTCTCAATAGAGATGCTAATGGATACTGCTGAAGGTTGGGCATCTGTGTTAATTGGGCCCTAATAATATGCCATTGTTGGAGATATCTGAAGAAATACCAATTAATTAGTGAGGTCATATTCCTCGTTCAGTACAACAAAGGTTTGGAGCGCAACTTCCAAAATAACGTGATTAAGCATCTGAATACCTACTCTACTCCAAAAAACTGGATTGGGAATACCATTAGGTTGAGGGAGTGTAGGATTGTCTCAGAGCAGGGTATGAGGGGACCAGAGCTCAATAAACTACGCTGTGTTTCGTGGACAAATGAAATGGAATATTGCATTTGCCAGGCATTACCGCAGCTAAAAGCGACCAATGCAAGTTTATGGGGCCATGTAACCATGTGCACTGCACATGATTGCAATGTCATAAGGCAACATGTCACCTCCTCACCACCTGTCAAATGCCCTCTGAAAAACGATACACAGGGGCAACAAGGTCTACCTCAGGCTAGCCAGAGGTAGGAGGGGACTGGCAAAATAGAAATATTCAGGGGGTGCAGGAAGTATAAATCCAGTCCTGTCAAATGCATTCAACTGTGAATGTTTCATATTTGACTAGAGTGTGCTTTTAAAGATCATTTTGAAGATGTTCACTGATGCTAGGAAATGCTCCATCCACAAATATAACACAACTGATTTCCCATGAGTAGGATTAGGCTGCTCTGTAGTTACCATATACTCATATTTTTCTTTCTACTTTTAGTAAACTCCTCTTCACAGAGTACAAATGATCATTATTGTCAGGTGTATTTAGTGCACGTGTAGGTGTGCAAGATCAGCATGTGGTTGATTATGATTCCTTGCTATGTCTGATTTCTTTAATTATATGCTTTTTTTCTTACTGCAGTATTGTGCTCAATTGTCGTTTCCAATTATTTTCCAGTCAGTGAAGAGATGCTCTTGAAAGGTATCACATTTGAGAAATTAAGCCTTTACACAATTTGTTCACACAAAACGTTATACAAAGAAAACAATGTTTTATCAGTATCTGATTTTGCATTTGAATGTGTTTTTTTGGCTTGAAGAAAATTTAAGTAAAATACTTTTCTTTCAACCTGCTTAAACCAGCCCAAATTTAGTGGCTTCTGGACCACAGAATACGTGTTATCCATAATGTGTTTCCATGTGTCCTAACAGAGTTAAAGTGTTACTAAACCCCGACCCTGCATTCACTATATCTGGTCTCCCACAGTACAACAACATTGAAGTGCAATTATTTTAGTAAATATAAACTGCTAAATACCTTTTCTCATCAAACTGAGCATGTGCATGTGACTACAGATTCAGTCTGTATCAGGTGGTCATTTCAAAAAGAGGAGGGGCAGAGAAGAAAGAATCAAACAGCCTTTTTACACAATGCAGAAATATAGCCCCTTAGGTTCCACAGTGAGTATAACAAGCATGCTTTGCTGCATATACAGACTGATTTTACAGTTGTGGGTTTAGTAACAATTTAAGCTCTGTTATTAAAGCTGTAGGAGGACTTTTCTTTCTGCTTTAGGAGGATATAGAACCCCTGACCTCTGTCTGGACAGTGCTGATTGGCCCTGTGCTGATTACATGCACTCTCCCAAGAGAAAAAAAAAAAAACCTCTCTGGCATTACACACCACACTGAGCATGTGCAGATTGTCTCCACACAATATGTCTTATCAAGAGATAAGAGGGAGACACTGGAAAAGGGGGAGGATCAGAGAAGACAGGATTAAACAGCCTTTTTACACAATGCAGAGGATTAACCCTCACAGTAAGTATAACAAACATGCTTTACTGACTGATGTGAATGTACAATATATATATGTAAAGCGCTGCATAAATTGACTGCACTATATAAGTACCTGAAATACATAAAAATAAAATACTGCATATACAAACTGATTTTACTGTTGTGGGTTTAGTAACACTTTAAAGCTACTGGAGAATAATTAATTTTCAAAGTTTACAATAGAAGAAGTGAAGTCATTCAGGTCTGGTTCTCCTGAGCACCTTCTCTGGGTTTACAGTGGAGATCAGAGGGCTGGCAGGCTGCCAATTCAATACTAAAAGGTGGACCTGAGCTACAGAGAGAAAGTGAAAAACTAAATAGTTTCTGATGAAACCTTTGAGGCTTCACAGTGGCTTCAGGTAATTATCTTAGTGACTGTTTGTATTAAACTTTTATTTAATGCTTTTTAAGAACATGTAATTATTTGAATGTCCATAGCTGGGCCACAGTCCTCAGTCTGAAAGTCCACCCAGTTTACTTTACAGATATTATATAATCTTTTTTTACAGGTGCTTTAGATATGTTAGGCTTCTGATAATGTCCTTTGCTTTCATCTTGATGTGCATAGGAGAAGCTGCACTGTGCTTAAAAAGTGGAAAGACACATTTGGTGCTGGCTAAAGCAATTTAGCTGGTGGAACAGTAAGCTACACAAGCCATTGAACCAAGACTGCAAGCATGCCACGGAAAAAAAGACACATTGTAGCAAAACAATATCCTAATCTGCAGCATAGCTAAGTAGGTGAATGCACTTTCTTTTTGGAAATCCAAATATGATAGCCAAAGCATGTGCAAAGAGCAAAGAAACCTACCTTGAGCCATGATGACGACATCAGCCAAGCATTAGCTGTCCATCAAGTTCACTTGAATATTTTATTTAGTTCCCTGAATACATTTGCTGCTGTTCACATTTGTAAGATATAAATTATTCTTTCACCTTTATATATTCAACCTACAGTGAGCAAATACAGTTGTGCTCAAAACTTTGAATACCCTGGCAGAAAATTGTGAAATTTTGGCATTGATATTGAAAATATGACTGATCATGCCAAAAAAATGTTCTTTTATTGAAGGATGATGATCATATGAAGCCATTTATTATCAAATAGTTGTTCGACTCCTTTTTAAATCATAATGATAACAGAAATCACCCAAATGGCCATGATCAAAAGTTTACATACCCTGGAATGTTTGGCCTTGGTACAAACACACAAGGTGACACACACGGGTTTAAAATGCCAATGGTTAATGTCCCACATCTGTGGCTTTTTAAATTGCAATTAGTGTCAGCGTATAGTCAATGAGTTTGTTAGCTCTTACATGGAAGCACTGACTAGGCTAGATACTGAGCCATGGGGATCAGATAATAACTGTGAAAAGTCCTGCGTAACAAGGTAATGGAACTTTACAAAGATGGAAAAGCACATAAAAAGATGTCCAAAGCCTAAATATGCCAATCAGTACTGTAAAATCATCTATTAAAAAGTGGAAAGTTCTGGGATCTCTTGATACCAAGCCAGGGTCAAGTAGACCAAGAAAGATTGCAGCCATAACTGACAGAAGTATTGTCCGGGATTCAAAGAAAAACCCACAGGCAACCTCAAAAGAAATATAGGCTGCTCTGGAAAAAGACTGTGGTTGTTTTTAAGGAGTACAATACGGTGATACTTGAACAAAAATGAGCTGTTTGGTGGAGGTGCCTGAAAGAAGCTTTTACTGCACCAATGCCACAAAAAAGCCCAGTTACAATATGCCTGACAACACCTTGACATGCCTAACCAGATCTTTTTTATGTCATTGATGCAGTAAAGGCTTCTTTCTGGCACTTTGACCATGCAGCTGATTTTTGTTCAAGTGTCATCATATTGTGCTCTTTCAAAACAACCGCACTGTCTTTTTCCAGAGCAGCCTGTATTTTTCTTGTGGTTGTCTTTTTCTTGGTCTACTTGACCCTGGCTTGGTATCAAGAGATCCCCAAACTTTCCAATTTTTAATAAGCGATTTAAAGGACTTTTCACAGTTATTATCTGATCCCCATGGCTTAGTATCTAGCCTAGTCAGTGCTAACAAAGTCATTGACTATTTATACACTGACACTAATTGCAATTTAAAAAGCCACAGATGTGGGACACTAACCTCTAATTGGCATTTTAACCCGTGTGTGTCACCTTGTGTGTCTGTACCAAGGCCAAACATTGCAGGGTATGTTAACTTTTGATCATGGCTATTTGGGTGATTTTTGTTATCATTATGATTTAAAAAGGAGCCAAACAACTATTTGATAATAAATGGCTTCATATGATCATCATCCTTCAATAAAAGAGCATTTTTTGGGATGATCAGTCATATTTTCAATATCAATCTTGGGCAGTTTCAGTCAATTCTTTGATCTCCAATGCAAATACATGATTGCTAAAATAAACTAAAGTGGTTGTAAATGCTAAAGGTTTTTTATCTTCATGCATTCAATGCATGAAGATAAAAAAAAAACGTCTGTGTGCAGCAGCCCCCCCAGCCCCTCTAATACTGTGCTCCATCTCCACCTGAGATCCATCATGATCCAGCGATCATGAGAATAGACTCTCCGGGGACTCTCCCTCCTCATTGGCTGATACAGAAGCGGGAGCCATTGGCATTGGCAATATTGACATTTTTGTTATTTTTAAAAAAGAAAAAATAAACTGCCTTTAACTAGTTCCCATCCTATAGCTGAAGGACAGCTACAGCACAGTTGTCTGGCTCTGGGCCAACGTCCATGGACGTCATTCCAGAACACACCCCCTGCGCCACGCACCCTGCGCTGCCGGAGATCACTGTGTACTATGGACACAGCTGATCGTGGTATATGGTAAAAGGCTAATTACGGCGGTCTTTTACCATGTGATCAGCTGTGTCCAATGTAGTTGCCAGTTATCGGCTGCACTTTCCTCACGCTATCACAGCGTGAGGAAAGTAATGCCGATAACCGGCAATTGTCAGAGGACGGATCGGCACCGATCATCATGGCACTGATAATCAGTGCCCTGATGATCAGTTCCCAGCAGTGCCACCCACCTGTGCCCTGAAGTACCACCCACCTGTGCCCATCACTACCACCCAAACTGTGCCCATCAGTGCCACCCACCTCTGCAACCCACCTGTGTCTAGCAGTGCCACCCACCTGTACCCATCAGTGACACCCACTTGTGCCTAGGAGTGCCACCCACCTGTGCCCATCAGTGCCACCCACCTGTGTCCAGTGCCACCCACCTGTTCCCTGCAGTGCCACCCACCTGTGCCCAGCAGTGCCACCAATCAGTGCTGCCCAGCAGTGCTGCCCATCAGTGCAGCATCATCAGTGCCAGCTCATCAGTGCCACCTATCAATGCCGCCTATCAATGCCTCCTATCAGCGCCTCCTATCAGTGCCTATCAGTGTTGCCTATCCATGCCACCTCATCAGTGCCCATCAGTGCTGTCTATCAGTGCCCATCAGTGCTGCCTATCAGTGCAGCCTCATCAACGCACATCAGTGAAGGAGAAAAATTACCTGTTTGCAAAATTTTATAATAGAAACAAAGAAAAACTTTTTTTTTAATTTTTTGCTCTTTTTTTGTTTATAGCACAAAAAATAAAACACCCAGTGGTGATTAAATACCAGCAAAAGAAAGCTCTATTTGTGTGAAATAAATGATAAAAATTTCATATGGGTACAGTGTTGCATGACTGCGCAATTGTCATTTAAAATGCGACAGCACTGAAAGCTGAAAATTGGTCTGGGCAGGAAGGGGGTATAAGTGCCATGTAGGCAAGTGGTTAATATCACTTTAACACATAGGAAAAAAATTGGCGGACAAAAATTGTACAGCCAAACTAGCGGATTTTTTTACGCACAGTAAGAGACCACACTATCATATAAAAATATCACAGTTTATTGACATAAAATATTCACAAAAAAAATTTTTTGGAACAAAACAGACAGACATACACAACCCCCAAACACAACGGGGGGGGGGGGGGATTAGTACATCCCCCTGTTGTGTTTGGGAGTTGTGTATGTATCTTTTGTTCCAAAAAATTATTTTTGTGATTATTTGACATCAATAAACTGACATTTTTATACGATAGTGAGGTCTCTTACTGTGTGTAAAAAATCTGCTAGCTTGGCCATACAATTTTTGTCCGCCAATTCTTTTCTTACATTTTGAGGATGTGGCACTAGGAAGCTTTATGTTATTTTCTCACTTTACCTGAAAGATGTTACCTTCTAAGAAATATATGTCACAGTGATCAGTAGGGACACAGGCAGCTGGAGGTACATGAAAATGGCTGTAAATGTCAAAGTTGGCCCTGCAACCCACTCCCTGGAGATCATCAGTCCATCACAGTAATCACAAAAGTGAGTTTTGCCGAGGAAATAGTGAGGTTTCAAGCTTTAGGTCGCATGAACACTGGACATTTAGCACCAGTGCATGAGGCTCCAGTTTAGGTGGAAGGTAAAGCTGCACCTTTCAGCCCCTCTGCCAACAGCCTATCAAATTCTGGCTAAGGCTGACAGATGGTGCGGTTAGATGCTGCACCAGGCAGTTCTTATGTTTAGTGCAGTATATGCGGATGGATGAATGCCTAGAATGTAGTCTGCTTACATGCTGCACTGAACATAAGTACCACTCAGTTCACCGCCCATCCCCGTCCAGCCACAATAGCTGACAGACTCTCATAGACATTTACAGGCTGCCAACTGCAGGGCTGGACGGTGCACCTGTGCCTTCCACTCATGCCTAAATGCTGGATCCTCATGCTAAATGCCCATGTGCATGTGGTCTTAAGGCTGGTACACACTGGCTGAATATCTGCCGGTATCGGCGGCTTCAACAGAAACCGACTGACATTCAGCCAGTGTGTACAGCAGCCTGTCCAACTGAAGC